AGCTATCTCTTAATACAGGGTAGGGAACCTGTGGTGCTGCAGAGGCTGCTGAACCACAACCTCCTCATGCCTGACTGTTGGCCAAACTGGTTGGGGCTGATGGCAGCCCAACACTATCTAGAGAGCCACAGATATTTCAGCCTTACTTTAGTGATAAAGGAACATAGGGAGCTGCCTTTCACCATCCTGGTCAGATTATTGTGCCTCCACCTTGCACTATACAAGCTGATTTTGGCACAGATGATAGAGAGCTAGAGGATGTCTTTCATAAGTTGATCATCTGCATTCACTCAGTGTCAATAATGTGGGGAAAGTAAACTTGTTTTAGAACAAGAACAGAAACTTTTTGATGCTGCCTACTAAAATCTTGCCCACCTCAGACCAAACAATTCTCTATCACTTCTCTAGAAGAAGAATATTCAGTGAAGTTTTAGGATGCAGCTGTGGACTTTGCAGCCTTGTGGTGGACCATAAAGCCAAGCATAACAGCTCAGATTTGCATGTATGGAAGATGAACAATATATATATTTTTAAAGGAGTCTGCCATATTATACAATTATAGGTTAAAAGGAGAGCATCCCTACCTCCACACACTTGGTTGGCATTTCAGCCTGCTTATCGAAAATCAGGAAGCGGTACCACCCTGATGGCAGTGAATGATCACATATTAAATCCTGGATGGCTGATTGCTGAAGCCGTGATGAATCAAAATCAACACTTCGGTATGGACTCTGAAGGATCTGATGACCGCCTGGATGACATTCCAGAGCTGTAGAAAAATTGGAGACATTAGCATTCTTATGCATTTATCTGCAGTGGGTGTCGCCAGTCATAAAATGGCTGCCATGGAGGATGTGCGAGTGGTTTAACACAAAATGGCTGCCTGGAGCACAGCATAACACTAAATTAGGTAGACAACCCCTCCCATCCTCCTTCAGCTTATGACAGAAACTTAGCTATGTCCTGATTATGGAGGTTACACACACTGATGCTGTCTAATAACAACAGGGAGCATTCCTAGCCAAGGTTGCCACACCACTGTAATTTCACAGAAATCGCTTAGAAGTACCTGCACATTTTGCCCCATAACTTCCTTTCTAGGAGGGTTAGAGACTTACTTTTTTTCTAAAACAAAAGCTGAAGTCTAGGGTACCTGCCAGAAGTACCATTGGAAACCTGCTGGGGTGCCATGGGCACCAGGTTGGTGACCTCTGATTATATCTAATCTTGGTCTGGTTTGCAAAATATGGCAACCCAAACTATGGCTATACCAGGACAACTCTTGGGCACAACTTGTGGTTAGTGAGGAGAAGGCTTAACCATGAGCCTCAGTCTGGAATACAAACTAAGCCAAACTGTGTTATGCAAACCAGGCCACTATGTGCCGGAACAAAATGATGCCTTGCTTTTGCTACTAATATTTATATTAAATAAAGGTCTATTGAGCTCTATTTAGCAGGGAGCTAAGAAGTTCTGGAACATGAATCATTTAGCAAATCTGTCCCTTCTGTCTATCACAAAGAAGCTATGTTTGCAACTAAAGGAGTTTGAATATCTTTTTAAAAAATGCAAAGCTTGTGAATCAGTTGAATTCTGATAATATTGTGTGATATTTGCCAGAGACTCTAATCAAGACAGGAATCAAATATATAGCATGGGGTTTTTTTTTGTCTTTGGAGCAAGCGCCTAGTATATCATGGCTCATTTCACCACAGAGACAAAAAACAACCATCCTGAATTGAAGAACTTGAAATGCCGTATTAAACAAGAAGACAACTGCTTTAAGTAATCAATAGACAAGGAAGCACAAGATAACTTAATAAGACAGTCTCGGTTACCATGATAAGCTTAGGTCAAAACATATCAGCGATGCAATCTGTCTTTGGTTTGTATAATATAGCTAACTTATGCCAAGTTGTCAAACAACATTTATATAAATGTTTCCTACTAAAGCCCATAACATCATAAAAAAGCAACTCGGTTGTCACTTTGTGTAAAAAATCATTATCAGCACTAAAATCAGTTTATAATCAGTGCCAAGACAATCGATTAAAAATAATATTGAAGCCTTTCTCACTTGGATTCTCACATTTCACGCGCTATCCTAACCACAAAGGGTTCCCCATATGAACCACAGCAGAAGTATTATAGTCCTGTCTCTTAACTTCTGATCACCATCACTTTTCATTTGATTTCCATCCCTCTACTCCTCCCAAAGGAGCCCATTCCTGTATATATTCTGTTAATTCATCTAGAATCAGTACCCCGACTCCCTACATTTATACAGCATAATAATAATAATGATGATGATGTTTGATCTCTCTTGAATGCAATGAGGAGTTAAAGAGGCTACATCATGGCTATTAGTTATGCAAAGAATTTCATTTATCTGGGGGGCTTTCCTTCCAATTATTAACAGTTATTGGTAGTAGTAATAAGGACAGCACTATTCTGTTATTGAAATTCCTGAGGCTGTGCGCACACCATATCTTTAAAGCACATTCAAACCACATTTTTGACTCCTAAAGAATCTTGGGAACAGTAGCTTGTTAACCCTGTAGGGAACTGTAGCTCCGTGAGGGATAAACTACAATTCACAGGCTTCTTTGGGAGTTAAAAAGCGTTAAAAAGGTACCAGAGCGCGCAAAGTGATGCTCAACAGGCACAGAAGGAAAACAAAACCACAAAACAACTTTTGCTGAGGTTTTTTTTTGTTTTTTTTTTTAGAATGATCCACTACAGAAGAGGGTATTCCATTTGCCAGCATTACACCCTTGAACGCGCCCCTTTCCGTGAGCCTAAAGATGCTCCAGAGGCTCCCCTTTTCTTTCTTCGTGCCCAGAGCCACCGCGCGCCCTTGCTCTCCTTTCTCCTTACCTTGCTGGCCGCGCGCTACCTCGAAGCACACTACCAGCGCTGCGCAAAGGGAGAGGACGTTCCCCGGCAGGCTTGGAGAGCGCATAGCTCTCTCCTTTCTCCCACTCTGGACAAGGCGCTTTCTCCCTTCAGCAAGCCAGCTTGAAGAGCGAGCCTGGCCCCGATCCGCTGGGCACCCTCCGCCGAGCGAGCTGGGAGCGAAGTTTGCGCGCTCTGGCTCTGCTGCAATCTTCTCGTTGCTGCTGCTGCAGTTTCCCAGGTCCCGGGACAGCCTCGCGCGCCCTCTCCCTGCAGGCCGCTCCGCCTGGAAGAAGGAGAAGGAAACAAACAAATGCAACAGCTGGAGCACCAAAGCTGGGAGGGGAGCAGCAACCCGAGTAGCTGCAACCGAGCCTGGTCGCTGACCCCATTCAGGTCGGCGGGGCTTTCAGTTTTGACTGCCAGAGTAGCAGCGCTGTCCTAGACGTGCCGCTTACTGCTAGGTAAGTGAGGTTGGGATCGCAGCCCGTCGACCGTAAACTGCGGGTCTCTCCGGCGTACACGGGATTGGCCATTCCTCCGCATTCTCACGTTTGGAATGCACGGAATGTTACCAGTGTGCGGCAGTGAAGCGTAAGAAGCAGAGGCCCAGCACTTGTTCTTTCACAGGCCTCTCCACTGGCAGGTCCTCGTTATTCAAGGTAGCTGTGGGATGAGAGAGGCTTCTACAAAGGAGATGAAGAGAAGGTGGCAAAATAAAATAATCCCAGGGTGGGAAATAAATTACCAATCTCTTCATCAGAAATATTGGATGTGGACAACATGCAGAATTATGAAAAACCCAACAAATCAGAAGAGTCCAGTTTTTAGGATTTGGTTTAGTGGTTAGTCTTAATTCCAAACACCATGGAGCAGACACACAAACAAAAATTTTCTGGATTATGCCCATTGTACAGAAATCACTGCTGGCAGTAGTAACAGAATGTTAGACTAATTCTGCATACATTTAGCACATTGTGTCTTTCATAGAATCACAGTATCAAAGAGCTGGAAGGGTCCCCAAGGGTCATAAAATGCTCCACAGCTGTGCCATGGTTTGTTTTGTAGGAAAATATAAGCAGCAGGTAGTTAGCCAGATCCTATGTGGATGATACTCAGTTTTGCTTCTTGTTTCTGTTAACTAATCCCAGGGAGTTTCCGGAAATCTTAACCAGGTGTCCAGAGGTGGCTTTTGGATGGATACAGGCAAATGAGCTAAACTTAATCCAGATAAGATGAAGGTCCTTGGGTGTGGGTTGGGAAATCAATGGCCACTTCCAAATAGTTCTAGATCAGGGGTCAGCAACCCAAGGCCCATGGGCCTGAGGTGGCCCACGGAGGTCATTTGACTGGCCCATGAGCCACCCCCGAACCGAATTGCCCACTCGTGCGCTGCACTAAATTGGTACAGCACGGCGTGGGGACCTGCTTCCATGACGCTGAAAATCGTGTCTGCACACGGGCCTGCGCATGATCCGGCCCATGGAGGGCTCTCTGTGGGACTGATCCGGCCCAGGCAAGATAAACCTTGCCGACCCCTGTTCTAGTTGGTGCCGTTCTCCCAAGCTTGTACCTTGATCTCAGTGCAATTTCTGGATGTGCAGGTAACACACCAGCTGCAACCCTTTCTAGAATATGGACCTTGCCTCAATTTCTCATGCCCTGGTTACACCCAGAGCAGACTCCCAGTTGGTAAAAATGCAGCTGCCCAGCTGCTTGTTGGAGCCAGATGTTTGGAACATGATACACCTATAACTGCACCAGTTGCATTGCCTGCTTGTTTGTTTCTGGGCCCAAAACCAAATGCTGGTATTGATATGGAAAGCCCTAAATGGTTCCGGACCAGGTTATTTGAAAGACTACCTTCAAATAACCTGGGAATCACAAGTGGGGGAGAGTCTGTTGCACTCAAGTCCTGCTAGCGGACTTCTCATAGGCATCTGGTTGGTCACTGTGAGAATGGGATGCTGGACTCGGTTGGCTGTTGAGCTAATCCAGCACAACTCTTATGTTCTGATGTAGGTTCCCCATGGGATGTAAAATCCTGGGAATCAGGGAGCCCACAAGAGTGAAAGGAGGCTCATTGCCTTAAGCAAGGAACTGTTGCCCTCCCTGGGATAACTCACTTGGTAGAACATGATAGAGCATGAGACTCGTAATCTCAGGGTTGTGGGTTCAAGGCCCACATTGGGCAAAAGATTCCTGCATTGCAGGGGGGTGGAGTAGATGACCCTCGTGGAATCCTCCAGCTTTACAGTTCTAGGAGCTTGTGGGAGATGAATGGAGGGGGCAGAGTTAATACACTTGTCCCTGTATCCTCCTGCTTATGTGTTAGTTTACATAGTAGCCAGAACACCTTAAGAGGGTTCTTGTGTATCCTTTTGTTTATCCTTCTAAGCTTGAAATCCTAAACACCCTTCACAGGGAGTAAGTCTTACTGAACTCAGAGGGACTTAATTCTTAAACACACAGGATTCTTCTGTAAATCTCCTTGGTTTACACATTGCTTTGATATTGAACTCTGCAGATGTATGCTGGTTTTGCAAGAGATTGCTTAAGATCCCACATTGCTATATGATTTTTGACGATACTCCAATGTCCCGCAGCAAATTTGTACTCTGCTTCAATCCAATTGACGTTTCTTTTCCTTTCTATCCTCTCTTATCCTTATTTCCCACTCCAAATCGTTCCTTTTCTCCCTGCCTTTCTTGATAACTTTGATCATTTGCATCTGCATTGGGTACTCAACAAAACTGTTCTGAATCCCACTTTGCTGAATAGTAGGTGTGTATTTTTATTTTAAATCAAAGTTAGCAAAAGGTACTCCTTTAAAACAGAGGGCCAGACTTTGTTTAAAACCTGGAACCACTCTTTCTAAGAAATCTGACATGTTGATTACAGGACCAGGCATCAGTGTGCAACATTAATCACTAGAAAGCAACATTGGGCCAACTTCCAAAGGTATAATCTGAACAGCAGGCTCCAGGGGAGCTGATTCATGCATATTAGTCTCCTGGACAATTTACGGTAATTATTCTGTCAATCCTGTCCTTGTTACCTTTTTTCGGCCAGGGTAATTTTCCCTTCACAGTCAACTGTCCCTCACGCTTTCTCTAAGGAGCTGTGCAAGCGACAGGCAATAAGCTGTCCAGTTTCTTGGCCATTTTGTAGATACTTGGTTATCATCATTGTAACATTTAAACATACTCCTCTTTCCTTTCCTTTCCTTTCCTTTCCTTCCTTTCTTTTTTAATGATTTTGAAATCCAAACACCACTTAACACTCACATTGATAAAAGAAATAGCGAACTGGTAAATCTGTGCTGTGTTAGGGTCGTCGATTATGGTACTTTCAGGCTGCAGCAATGTATAATCTCCACTAAAATTAAAAGGTAAAAGACCCCTGGATGGTTAAGTCCAGTCAAGGTGACTTTGGGGTGCAGCGCTCATCTCACTTTCAGGCTGAGGGAGCCAACTTTTTAGTAACAACAAAATTTATAGTTCTCTGTGTGTAGACATCTGTGGACGTACTTAATTAGTGGACAGGAGAGCTTATTAAAGGGAAAAGATGTTGTGAGAAATGACAAGATTTTGCTGGATTGCAGTAAAACAAATTTGCACTAGATTTTCACCATTTGGTAGCATTTCTTAAGGGACTGATGCACAGCAGGGGTTGTTCCTATTCTACAAAACAACGCATCTCACCATTTTGGTCTTCATCTTTTGTGAGTTGTCAGGCACTAAAAGTATACTGCTGGTCTTTGCTCTGTAAAAAGCTTACATTTTGTAGCCTAACCATTTGTTGCTATGATCACCCTGAAGGATTTCCCAGCTGTTAATCTAACTCTGCAAGGCCACCATTGGTGTAAGTTTGAGCCAAGGTTTATCTCAGTGGTAATTCTGAGAGAACTTCCATAAAAGTCTCACTATAAACTTCAAAGCCTATTAAAAAACAACTATCTGAGATGGCCAAAAGCAGTTGAGGCCAGTTAGTAAATGTTAAAAGAGGGTGGAGGTGTTTTAGGATCTTCTTTTAAAGACGTTATAATTTAGACTTCAAGTCTCACCTCATTTACCTAAGAGTAAGCCCCACTGAATTCAATAGGACTTATTTCTGAGTAGGCATCCTCTCTGAGAAGGGACCTTTCAGCCACTAATTCCTTGAAACTGAATTTTGCCATCGCTATTCCCTTTTCCTGTTAAAGAAAATATGGATTCATCAATGGTTTTCTGATTTTATGGTTAGTTTTAATTGATTTTATCATTATTGTACCTTCTATAACCTCACTGTATAGCAGAACACACAATTTAGTTCTGTGGCAGCTTTTTCACTACCCTTGAAGAGAGTTCGTAAGTCCTAGCAGGAGTTATGCAGAAGGTATAAAGTGTGCAGCATTTTTCTTTTAAAGAGCATGTGGCTTCTTGTAGAGGATGCTATTTAGAACAACGATAATGATGGCCTTCAGAGTATAATGAAACTACTGTGTTCTTCAGACCAAGACAAAGGCAGAATTTTGCTTCAGGGCTTTTCTTTCTTTGGTCATCTTATTCTGCCACAGAGAGAGGTTCGCTGAGTGGCAGCTTCTGATCCCAGAGGTAATGAAAAGCAAGTAAAGGGCTTTGCAGGTGGTGATCTGGTGATATGAAGTCAACAATAAGAAGCTAAGGAGAATCTAATTGCATCCGTGAAACTTTTCCTGTAATGAATGAAGAGTGCTCATCCTGCTTTGCCATTTTGATTCAGTTTGGCCTTGGCAAGAGACGGATTCATCCAGTTCATCCCACCTCTCTATAATTATCACAATTTTTAAATAAATTGAATCTTAATTAAATACACCTCTCACCTGCTCAAAGGAACTACCGTAACTTCTCATATGCAAGTCAGTCCCTGCCCTGTGGGTCACCCTTCCTTCCTTCCATCCTTCCCTCCCTCCCTTAAACCTTTCCCAAGTTACTTCTGCTGCCCATCATTCTCATAGACTGCATGCAAATTTAAGGAGGGCCCAGGGCAAGTGCTGCAGACCCTCCAAGTGTCCCTATTTTCCAGGGACAGATTTACAGAAGCCACTCTGGTTTCTGATTTGATCCCAGAATGTCCCACTTTTCCTTAGGAGGTTCCTATTTTCATTGGAGAAATGTTGGAGGGTGTGGAGTTATGTGACGCTTGAGGCAAGGAGATAAGTAACAATGTAATCTTTAGAAGACATCTGAAGGCAGCCCTGTATAGGGAAGATTTTTAAATGTTTAGTGTATATGTTAGTGTATATGTTTTTATATACAGTTGTACCTCGGGTTACATACGCTTCAGGTTACAGACTCCACTAACCCAAAAATAATACCTCTGGTTAAGAACTTTGCTTCAGGATGAGAATAGAAATCGTGCGGCGGCAGCGGGAGGACCCATTAGCTGCCTCAAGTTAAGAACAGTTTCAGGTTAAGAACAGACCTCCAGAATGAATTAAGTTCTTAACCCAAAGTACCACTGTATGTTTGAAGCCTTCCATAGTGGCTAGGGCAACCCAGTCAAGATGGGTGGAGTATAAATAGTAAAATGATGATGATGATGATGGAATAAGACATCCCTATTTTCATCCAAGAAATGTTGAAGGGTATGCAAGTATTATCTGTGAGCACTGCCAGAGCTCCAGCAGATGGCCAAGGATGCCAGATGCTAATTTAGGCCCTGTTCTACCTTAGTATCACAAGATTGTCTTGAGAGCACTGGGACTAAAATTGTGAACCAAAAGCTTTACTTTTCTGGTTTATCATCACAACAGTTATTAACACTGGGCTTCAGTAAAGCAAATATTTTAATTAGACAGCACCTCTATGATATTGAGTGACAGAATAATCTGGCCACAATTAGGAAATTTTGTCCACGGTATGATTATTTCCCACCTAGCCATTTTGACACTTTGGCACTCTATTTGCAAAAATTAACAATTCCAAAATACAGACGTGCTTTCACTTTCTCAAGATTGAATATACTGCCTTCGGCTGTTCTTGAGGGATGATTTCAAAAAATTCCACTGGAAAAACGGTTGCTGTATTTTCCCGTCTATAGGACGCCCCCATGTGTAAGACCCCCCCCATTTTGGGGGACTCAATTTTAAGAAAATGAGGGGAGATGGCCCAAAGTTGTTGAGCCTCTCCCCCCAGGCGGCTGCGGGCAGGAAATACTCCCTAGATTGTTTCCTGCACACAGCAGCGTCGGGGGAATTTGCGCTCCTGCCAGCCAACCTGGTGGGCAGGAGCGCAACCTACCCCGATACCGCCCTGTGTGGGAAACGACCCAGGGAGCGCCCCTCCTCCACGTAGTGGCATCAGGGGAAGTTGTGCTCCCGCCAATGAGCTGGCTGGCTGCACGCAGCTTCTCCCGCCATGCAGCTGTGGGCAGGAAACACCCCCAGATCGCTCCCTGCTCATTGCAGCATCGGGGGAAGCCGCGCTCCTGCCAACCGGATGGCTGGTGGAGCCCCGCTTCTCCCCCCCATGCCACTATCCATGTATTGGACGACCCCAGTTCTTTGACGTGATTTTTGAGTCAAAAAACCTTGTCCAATACATGGAAAAATATGGTATGTCCCTGTGGAGATGGCAGTATTGAGTCAGTGGCTCATGTGCCTCTGGCTTGCACTCTTGATGAAGATATTATTGTCCATGCCAGGTCACTCAACCACTGCTACTGTGTCCTTTGTTTCAGCGGATCAAGATGATCAGGTGACAGCAAAAACTGCAAGGTTTTTAGTGGGGGCAAATAGAATAATATCTATTATTTGATTATTGACATAAATTCTCAAAATGTATTTTCCACAGTTAAGTTTTTACCTCTATCTTCAGTACATTTTATTTTATTGTACAGTGGTACCTCGGGTTAAGTACTTACCGTATTTTTTGCTCTATAAGACTCACTTTTTTCCTCGTAAAAAGTAAGGGGAGATGTGTGTGCGTCTTATGGAGCGAATGCAGGCTGCGCAGCTATCCCAGAAGCCAGAACAGCAAGAGGCATTGCTGCTTTCACGGCGCAGCGATCTCTCTTGCTGTTCTGGCTTCTGAGATTCAGAATATTTTTTTTCTTGTTTTCCTCCTCCAAAAACTAGGTGCGTCTTGTGGTCTGGTGCGTCTTATAGAGCGAAAAATACGGTAATTCGTTCTGGAGGTCCGTTCTTAACCTGAAACTGTTCTTAACCTGAAG